CCGCTACGCGGCGGAGTGGCATGGTTTGTTGTAGATGCGGTGGCCGCAGATGTAGATGCTTCCCTGGTGTCGCGTACTTTGTTAGCGTCGTTCACCCTAGTAGATCTTGGCTTCGTGTACTTAACTATTTGCCTCTTTCGTGGGCGTTGGCCTCCCATCGCTGGTACTCTGGCCGAAGAGTGCTATTTCGTGGTTTGGCGCATTCACGCAGTCATATTATTCCATCACCCGTGTATCGTGCTCTCCTTTTTCGGCAGTTGTTGGTGACCACAGATTTCAGATTTATTCGAGAATGAACGCTCCCAACGAGAAACCGTTCAAGCAGTTATGGCGCGAGCTATCCAAGGCAGGATGGAAAGCGAGGAAGCCTAAAGGACTGAGTGCGGACTTCACGTACGTGATGCCCAGTGTGACTGGCCGCCGTTTTACAGAGAAACACGCCAGTTATATACTTCGTTGGTACGTTCTGCAGACAGCTCGGTATATATACTCACAGTACTGACAGATATGTGCAGGCGAACAAGAACTCATGACATTTGGACGTCGTCAGAGGTTGCTGGAGCTCTCACCTTTGCCATCACTCCCAGCAAGGATCCCCATGGGAAAGAATGCGGCGTATGAGTTGGCCCGCAGTCGTGCGCCGGTTGAAGAGGTGCTGCCAGCGGAAGAACAAGCGGCACCAACTTTGGAGGTGACGCCTACTCCTCCAACTCCTCCTTCGAGTTTCCCTCCGCGTACTTCAGCTTCTACACCGTCGACTCAAGCAGGTCAAGCAATTCAGCCAGATACAGAGCAAGAAGGTGGGAGCACCACTACTAGTATGGAGGATCCGGAATACGATGTACGCTCGGGTCATGAACGTGCCGACGAGTCGAAGAGTGAAAGAGACGATTTCAACGGGATTGATGAGTTTGATGGTGAGAACTTCATGGATGCGCTACGTGGGGAGAAGCTGTTCGGGTCAGTTGCTGTAGATGATGTGAATCTGTGCGATGAAGCCGAAGATGACAACGACAGTATTGGTTGTGACTTCGATGATGAGCTGGATGTGCCTGTGTCGCCACGAGAGGACTACGAAAGCGAAGTAGAGTCTGACAGCGACTGTGAGGAGGACAGTGAGCTATTTGTGCAAGCCGACGAAGACATGCGGCGCTTGGGAGCTTCTGGGTGGAACATTTATGACGAGCAAAATTCTGGTAAGTCGGTCGTCTACAGAATAACTCTTTTGATTCTTTTCTAGCTCTGTATAATATTGAAAACAGGTGATTTGACTCTTGAAGCCGCGCAGTTGTACGACGGAAACTGGGGGCCAACTAGATCTGCAGCAGCATTTGCAGAGTCCTCATTAGGAATGTTTTTCTACTTTCTTCCCAAGAAGCTCTGGTTTGTGATTCAGAAGGAGACGAATTTGTATCGCGAGGATTGCATCCCGCTTGTCGCACGTCAGCAACGAGAGAAGCAGCTTCAAGCACAAGCAAAGGATCCCCAAAAGAAGGTCGACTCTGTCCAAGAGATTGAAGAGAAGCTACGGCGAGTAAAACCTATCCAGGCTCACGAAATTATCCACGTGATTGGTCTCCTCGTTGCTCGAGCCCTTTGTTCTCATACGGATGGCCTGGAAAAACACTGGTCTACTCGAGAAGATGGCGCAGTCCCTCGTGGAACGTTCTCCAGGTTTATGAAGAGAGACAGATTCAAGATGATCACTCGTTACCTGCATTTCGCTAGTAACAACGCTGCAGATGCGTCTAAGGACAAGGCATGGAAAGTCAGACCGGTACTGCAGGTACTCGAGAAAACATTTCGGCGTGGCTACCGGTTGGGGCCGCGAATCAGTTTTGACGAAGGCACCATTCCAAACAGGAGCAAGTTCAACCCGGTGCGCGTCTACAACAAGGACAAACCGCACAAGTACGGGACTAAGGTTTACATGACGTGTTGCGCGGAGACTGGCTACTGTTCTCGGTACGTTGATACAGAATTGCTAGTAGTATCAGTAGTATCGGGGTGTTTCTCAGTATCATACAGATTGCCAATTCCTCTTTTCACAGAATACGAGTGAAGTCACTTACAATATGCTGTATCTTCTTCTGTATGCTACAGAATTGAAGTTTATCTCGGCGCGGCTAACAATCCAGCGGCAGCAAAGGGAACGGCACAGAAGGCAGTTATACGAAACGTGAACAAAGCCCTCGAAGGACAACCCGCAAAGCGACTTGTTGTCGCTGACAACTTCTACAGCTCGTGTGCACTGATACTGGATTTACTTCGGAGGGGTTACTACTACGTGGGAACGCACCGCAACGACAGATTGGGATGGCCAGTCAACTTTGCGTTCACACAGAAAACGCGGCCCAAGCGTATGCCCCGAGGGACGTATCGCGTCGCTCAAGCCAAAGACTTCCCTGAGCTCATTGCTGAGTCCTGGATGGACTCGAAACCTGTGTCTATGATTGCGACTGGATGTGCAACGACGATGACTAGTTTGAGAGGCCGAGTGAAGGGTGAGAGTGTTCGTGCAGACGTACCTTGTCCCCAGCTGGTTGCCGATTATCATACTGGTATGGGGGGTGTCGACCAGCTTGACCAGCTGCGACTGCAGCGATATTCGATACAGCGATGTGTGGCTTTCAAAAAATATTACCGCCAGTTATTCTTGGGGTTTGTTGACATGGCGATTGTCAACGGGTTCATCCTGTACAAACTCATCTTGAAGAAAAAGGGAGAACGCATACCGACGCACGCAGAGTACATGCGAAGACTGCAAACGGAGCTTTTAGCAACAACAGAAGCCACATTGCGTGCAAACACCAACGCAGAGGATTTGATTACGGAGCCAATTCGAACGCAGCCACACGCCCTGCAGAATACGAACGACATGTATGATGAAAATGGGAAGAGTCAGCACCTTTGCAAGGTATGCTCGGCAATGGCGACGCCCCAAACGAAAAGCTTTGAAAGCAGCTACTTCTGCCCCCAGTGCACTCAATCCCACGCCGGCTACGTACCTCTATGTAATCGCGTTCGGAGAGAGGATAGCGGCAACACGCTCACGTGCAGCCAGATTTGGCACCAGGTCTGGCGAAACGGAACTGCGATTCCAGCACACCTGAAGAAGCGCATACGCTTTCGCAAGAGTAAGCGCGCTGACGAAGAGAAAGAAGACAGTAGTTAGCTAGTTAGTAGTCAAATCAATAGACTGTTCGCTCACCAAACTTTTCGGCCAGTTCAAGCCTAGTTCTTCTTCTACTCTTGCTAGTCTAGAGCTGGCCGAAAATTTGGTGAGCGAACTTCTGCCGCGTAGCGATGAAGCTCCGGCGGCCATCCAAAATGGCGCGAAGCCGCCAATCTCACTTATCGTTTTGGAGGGGAATATAACTGTACAGAAGACATTGCGATCTTTTTTTATTC